ACTGATTTAATTCCGTTTATTCCTAATAAGTTTTAATGGGACTCTTATTTAATTAATCAGGACATAGTATATATTACCCCACTATACAATGTCATATTAAAATAATATATGAAGTACCTAGGGTTCTCACTTTCTGATATACAATATACATAATTTTTCTACTTGCAAACAACAGTGATTTCCTGAAGGTTAAAGGATTAACCAGCAGCCATACTATGTTTAACAGTCATACTGTTTAGCAGTCGTACTATGAAAGTAAAATACAACAAGTCAATCATTTCTTAACCTGATAAACAAATAGCTTGGCAATGAACTACTTTCCATTGCATTCCATTGTTAATTACCCACTAGTTTCATTTCTATGTCTTTAATAAATACTTTAATAATACTTTATGATTACATGATTTATATATAATTATGATTAATTTATGAGTCAGAAACATAGAAATATAATTTACATCGTTGTCTTTATTGGAACTATTATACTTTATTGGGATACAAGTATACATTATGAGGACCATACTTTTCTTCAAACTAAACATGAGAATAAGTTTTAAAAATGTTTTGACTACTGTCATAGTAGCACAACCACAGCAAGATCTAAAACTGGGTATTTCTTCTTACAATCTTCTTCAAAGCTTACAAATAAGAAACTATGAGAAGTAACCAATAAAGAGATTTTAATACCAAGAATACAATTTAAGAAAGGCATCTTAACTCGAATTTTTAAAAATCTGAACTGGTAATGGTAACTCCACTGTATATAAATAGGAATATCTATCAGCAAACAAGCTGAGTTAAAATATCACTCAAGCCAATTTATAGATTTAAAGATTATACCAAGAAAGGCAAAAATAAAATAAGAATCACCAACTTTATTAAAAGTAAAGAACAATGCTTACTGTGTTAATAGTTTCCAATTCGTTAAAATAGGAAAGCTTTTGTTGAATGTTTTCAGCCAGATCAACAAGTTCCGACTTGCATTTTTTAAAAGAGAAAAATAAATTATTATAAGAATACAAGAAGCAACATGCCAGTCTCAAAGTTACACTAAATAGATTAACATTAGACACAGAGGTTTATATCAGATATAAGAATACAGCTCAAGTATTTCTACAATCATGAACTAAAATATGCAATAATTATTACAGTAAATTTCATGTCTCTTTATAAAATAATAAATGACATTTTTAAAACACACAAAAGTACATACAGAGAAAAGTACATACTGAGATAAATATAGTAACAAGTGTTCTAGCTCTAAGTCAAAAGTAATCCATCAGTTGATCTTTTCAAAATCTCACCATTAGTACAATCACTATGCTTGTTTGAAAAGTGTGAGTAGCTGGGTACAGTGGCTCACACCTGTAATCCCAATACTTTGGGAGGCCGAGGCAGGCAGATCACTTGAGGTCAAGAGTTCGAAACCAGCCTAGCCAACATGGCGAAACCCTGTCTCTACAAAAAAAACAAAAATTAGCCAGGCGTGGTGGCACATGCCTGTAACCCCAGCTACTTGGGAGGCTGAGGCAGAAGAAATGCTTAAACCCAGGAGGCAGAGGTTGCAGTGAGCTGAGATCGCACCACTGCACTATAGCCTGGGCGACAGAGTGAAAAAATAAAAAATAAAGTGTCAGTAATAAAGATGAGAAAGAGCAAACTAACATATCCACTACACTCTGAAATTGTATTGAGACCTAACAGCTCAAAACATAAGCTTGCCTTTGTTCTTATTCACATGAGTTTACTAGAAAAAAAGTAGACTGTCAATGTAACTATCTGCATGCTTAGCATAGGGCCCAAACACAGCAGAGTCGAACATCTTAGAGAAATTAGGAAAATTTTTAAAAAACTGTATTCATCTATTTTAAAATATTAAGTATAATGACTGATCCTCTCTCTTACTCCAATTACCTGTTCTTTTAGGAGCTGTTCACAGGCTTCATGTAGGGCTCCTGTCTTATTGGACACAAAAAGATACTGTTTCTGCAAAGACTCCAGATGCTGAAGAGCACTGTTTACATCATTCAATATAGCATCACACTGCTCCTGAAACCCAGACAAGTAATCCCTCATCTGTCTAGAAAACAGAACCAAAAGGGGATTGGCAATAATCTTTTCCCCCAGTAAGCATAGTAAAATAACAACAAAGGCTCATTTTTCCCAAAATGCTCAAATTTCAGAAGGAAAGTCTGACCTAGGCACCCAATTTGATTATGTTAAGAAATGTATCAAAAGTTATGTCATAAACTGTTTCAATACTTAAGAACGCAAGTACTGTAAGTAACAAAAGTAATTAGCCTTGAAGCCATAACCTGGCTTTTCACATATAAGGTAATTAATCACTGGCTCAACTTCTAAAGACTGGGACACCAAAGCCATCCCAAGGAACCAAGCAAGGTCCATCCTTCAGATCACTTCCCTCTTTGAAAGATGTTGTGATGTCATGGAAAGAATTCTGAATTTAGAATTAGAAGACCTGGGTCCAAGCCCCAGCTCTGCCCCAATCTACATGACATTACTTATTATTTCCAGGCCTCGGTTTGCTCGTTTGTAAAGTAAGAATAGTAATATCTCTCCTCACACAGCTGTTATTAAGATTAAATGGGATCATACCACACTGCCTAGCAATAATAGCCATCTATAAATCAATACACTGAATGTGAACACTCAACCCACAGCGTCCAAATCAGATAGAAACTGTACACTGTCATTTCCCTCATGCTGTCAACATTCACTGACAGAACTATAGTTACACCCAACCTAAGTGGCCATCCTGAAAGTCTTTCAGGGGTGTTTCTCCTTCTAAAGAAAGACAACAAACACCTTCTAGAATTCCTCTAAAGCTTCTACCTAAACCTAGTTCTTTCTGAAGTTAACTAAAAACTAAAATCTGTGCCTCCTAGCCTATAAATTATAACGTAATTCTCTTTTTGTTTTTAATCACGCAACTTCTAGTAACAGTTTTAAAGACCCAAATCTTCTCACTGGCTATTCTTAAAGAACATATGGCTGTTAGCGTTTTCTTAGTACCTTAATTTTATTTAAAACCAGTGATTATGAAATGTTTCAGATGACTGTGATCTAAAAATTAAGATACCCAACAAACGCAAGAAACACACATACCTATATTTAGTTCCTTCATCTTGATCCATCTGAGTTTGCAGCTTTGCAAACCATGAGAAAAACTGGAAAAACAGAGGATTATACTGTCAACAAAACTAAAACTGACAAAATTAAAAGAGGCTACATGCTAAAACAGCAAGTCAAAAGGGTAGATACTATCCAAGTTTTATTGTTTAGGGCTCAGACATAATCAGTTTTAAGCCAGGAGAAGATAATTTAATTACATCCACAATATCTACATGAAAGGAAAAGCAAAGGATATTAAAACATTGGCCATTTCAGATGTCTTAAAGGACTGAAAAAACAAACAAATGAAAAACTGGCCATTTTCAGAGTCAAATAAGGAAGAGTATTAAACATAAAATATGTAAAAAATGAATATTTCTTCCTAATAAGTTAATGCCTACTTGCTATAATCGTTTATAAAATCTGAGTAGGTAACACAGGGCTTTGAGCAAATATCAATATTAATGTTATCTAATAGGAACTGTGAGGCCATAACTCAAAAATATATTACAGAGTGGTTTAAGAATACGAACTCTGGTATCAGCTAGCCCTGAGCCTGAATTTTGGCCTGAAAAATATCTATTATTTAAAAGGCAAATGTGGGGAGTTGACCTTAAACAAGTATGAAGAAACTTTTTGGGGTAATGAAAGAAATGTTTTATATCTCAATTATAGTTGTTAATTACATAGGTATATACACTTTTCAAAATTCATTGAACCAACACTTAAAATGAATACATTTTATTGTACATAAATTATAAGTCAGTATATTAGTTTTGTGTGTTTTTTTTTTTAATTTTAAAGCGAGAACAAGTACAAATTTCATCCAGAAGATTCTTTTCTAAGCAGTCCAAATGAGTTCATAGACATGGTGCAAGACTACCTTCAAGTGAACATGAGAACACTGAATCTCAAGTAAGATTCAATGTCAAGGGTGTACAGGCTTGCCATGTGCCTTGCCTATCATTTACTGAGCATTTATTGTGTACTTGCTACTCAATACCTTTACATGCATTATCTTATTTAACTCTCACAGAAATCCTACAATATATAATTATCTCTGTTTTATAGATTAGGAAACTAAAGATCTAAGAAGCTAAGTAATTTGCCTAAGCTCACAAAGATGCTAAGTAATGGAGCTGACTTTCAGATGCAGGTCAGCCTAATTCAGGAGCTGGAACTCTTCCTGGGTTTGTGGAACTGCCTCTTTCGACTTACTACATATGCAATCCAGTACATGTACTTTATGTTTTATTTGGTAAATGCCTCCACTTTGACTCTAGGACAAGAAAGAGGAGACAAGAAAAGTGGTAGAAGAAACCACTATAAGTTTAGGTTTCAATTAGGAATGAACAAAAACCAAGAAAAAATTACACATGCTAAATTATCAAAAAATAACTGTAAGTGTTGATATAAAGAGGACACCTGGGTTTTTAAAAAAGGACCTATCTAGCAACAAGTGAGATGAAGGGATGTGCACGCATACACCGAGGGGACAGGTTAACACAAGACAGACATGGGGAGAAGTCAAAAGTGCATAAAACATTAAAACCTCAACAATCTATCAACATCCAAACCTGAAATATCATGTTTTTTCCCTATATCCATAACTATAATTGGGCAATAGATTCATTTGAAACACTTAAACAGCCACAATTATCACAAAATCAAGAATGTTCTAGAAAGACTTAATGTTAACTATGGTGACAAATGTTCACAACTTTTAATTAGGACCTTTTTTATTAGCCTTGCCTTGAGACATCTAAAATAATCAAACATCCTTAGAAAAGATACTGCAATTCACCTGTTGTGCGGTTTCAATTCTTTCTTCTTCCATTCCTAAGGAAGTGAAGCCCTTCAAGAGAATGTCATCTGTAGATTCAGGCACTACTGAAGTCAGTTCAATGGGCAGTGACTGGGATGTTAAACTACATAAGTCTTCAATTGGGAGCTTGAAAAAAGAGTCACGAAGATAATATTTAAGAAACATGAAAATTCTCTGAACTTAACTCAAGATTGAGTTTCCACCTCAGTTGTTTTGAAAGAGAAAGAAATATTTTCCATTAAATCATAATAGGTTAGCCAGGTGCGGTGGCTCACACCTGTAATCTCAGCACTTTGGCAGTCCAAGGCGGGCAGATCACGAAGTCAGGAGTTTGAGACCAGCGTGGCCAATGTGGTGAAATACCGTCTCTACTAAAAATACAAAAATTAGCCAGGCATGATGGCACATGCCTATAGTCCCATCTACTCAGGAGGCTGAGGCAGGAGAATTGCTTGAACCCGGGAGGTGGAGGTTTCAGTGAGCCAAGACTGCACCACTGCAACTCCAGCCTGGGCAACAGAGCAAGACTCTATCTCAAATTAAAAAAAAAAAAAAAACTAACTATATTAGGTTAATACAAATACCATATAATACTAACACTTTAGGCTCTATGTTAAATGCTAGTCTCAAAATATAAACATGACACTGATGTCCCACCATTAGTAAGCTTTTTTTTTTTTTTTTTTTTTTTTTGGTGACAGGGTCTTGCTCTGTCTGTCATCCATGCTGGCATGCAACAGCATGACCTCAGTTCACTGCAGCCTCCACCTCCAGAGCTCAAGCCATCCTCCCACCTCAGTCTCCAAGTAGCTGAGACAACAGGCATGCACCACCATGCCTAGCTAGTTTTTGCATTTTTGATAGAGTTGGGGGTCTATACATGTTGCCCAGGCTGGTCTCAAACTCCTGGACTCATACTTTCCTGTTGTGACTTCTCATTCACTTCTAAGGAGGAGGTGACTGAATGCTTCCTGCTTACTAGCACTGTCCTGGCTTCCAGATGGAGCAGACAGATACTACTAGAGAGGGGCAGCACTGTAGAGCTAGTTTTTGCATAGTTTTTGTATAGTTTATGCAAATGGAGACACTAACATTAAATAATAACTACAATAAATTCTCAAGTTTTGCCTGACCAGCTGAGCAGGTCCAGGACATAACAAGTAACATAATTTTCTGTCCCAAGCTCTACTTCTTGCAGAGTTCTGTGTTGGAGAAAACCACTTTTATGATCAATCTGATCAATTAATTCCCTAAATGAAACCTGATGTTACGTGCTCTGTTTGGAGCAAATTACTGAAGCGGTACAGACGGAGTCTCAGAATCTTCCTCAAGGCACATAACCTCTCCTTTTCTTACCTTTGGTCTGAATGACACCTTATACCAGCTCAGCATCACAGGATTTTAATCTATTCTTTTAAGATGTTAATGATTTGAACGAAAGCACAAGAATAATACTAACAAGTAACTTGCCATGTGCAGCTTACATATGTGATTTCATGTAATTCTCACAACTCCCTATAAGTAACCATCATGAGTTATGTCCCTATTTTATAAAAAAGAAAATTAAGCCTCAGAAAAGATAAACATCACATCTAAGGTCACACAGCCTACAAGAAAACAACAGCTGTAACAGTAAATTATAAGTAAGTGTCACGGAAAATTATTTCAGCATTTTATCAAGAATTACTAAATTCAGCATAAAGAAATAGGCCCCTCACTACTAGCAGGTTTGCCCTGGCTACAAAAGTCTACCTAATATTCTATGGTAAATTATTTTCTCTAATGGCCAAAAAAAAAAAAAAAAGGAGTATTTCCTTTTTAAGATAAGACTCGTTCTCTTTCATAAAAGAGAAAGCTGTTTTCTAAAGAAGTTAACATCTTTATGATATGTACTTAGAGTTAGTTGGCCTCTTGCTCTTCTATTAACCTGCTCAGTTCCAGCTGTTCAGGAAGTAATTTATCTCGTGCAAATTGTGAAACACTACAGAAACTCCTTGAGCTATACTGGTTGGACAAAATGAAAATTGTGGCACTCTCTTTTGGTGCTAGTGTTTAAAGAGTAGTAATGGGGCTAAAAAAATTAATTCCAAAATCTTCCCGACAGACATATAAACACTTTAGAAAAGGAAAATGAGGGCTGTAAAACTGAAGAGCAATGAGAATTTCCATCTCAAAGATTCCAGGATGTGTGCATAACAGCTCGTCTATTGCATTGTTTTTTTGAGACAGGATCTTGCCTGTCTCCCAGGCTGGAGTGCAATGGTGCAATCTTGGCTCACTGCAATCTCTGCCTCCCAGGTTCAAGCGATTCTCGTGCCTCAGCCTCCCAAGTAGCTAGGATTACAGGCATGTGCCACCACACCCAGCTAATTTTTGTATTTTCAGTAGAGATGGGGTTTCGCCAGGTTGACCAGATTGGTCTGGAACTCCTGACCTCAAGTGATCCGCCTACCTTGGCCTCCCAAGGTGCTGAAATTACAGGCGTGAGCCACTGAGCCTGGCCTCAACTACTGCATTCTCACAGGAATCCAATACCAAGCTACACCTACCAGAAGACCCTCACTGAATTCTTGAACTCGTTAAGTTCATCCCCTACCCATAAGCTTACACTGTTCTCTCTTCCAGCTGGAATGTTATTTCTTTAGTCTTTATAAAACTAGCTTCAGGTATTCCGCCATTAGTTCTCATCTCAGATTGTCACTTCCTTGGAAAGGCCATCTCTCTTTCTCTAGGGCATACTTCACCCCTTTCTGTCACACCATCCTATTTGATTTTCCTTATATTATGGGCCACTGCCTGAACATACTTTCTTTGTTCTTTTTTTCCATGTTCATGATCCCCACAATTATGTCAGCTCCGTGAGGCTAAGGATCTCATCTTTCCTATTTACCTTTCTATCTCCAATTCCTAACTCAGGGTAGGAACATAACATACGTTAAATACTGCATGTGGCTAATGACAAATATGGAAGAATGGGGTGATAATGAAAAAGTTCATTTCGTTCATTCCAAACCTTCTCCTTCATGTTCAATGAGAATAAGAAATAATAGTTCATGATCCACGACAATGAAAACAAAATTTTTTTGTAGAATATGTATCTCCCCCATCACACCCCCAGTGCCAAATCAATTATAGACAGAATGGAAAATTTATAGAGCAAACAACTTTTATTATCCAGCGTATAAGAGTTTCATGGATGAGCCAAAAAAATTTCCACCTGCTCCCTCATTTATTTCAGATCCATTTCCTGACCACATCCTAGAGGCAGAAACAGAAACCCAAGAAAGAACGCCTATTTGATGGCAGGGCATACAATAGTGAATGTGAAGAGAATGATTAAATCAAACCTCTAAAGTAGGAGGACAGAAAAAGTTGAAGACTCTAAACTCAATGTCGGTTTGGACACAATTCCAAATCGCATAAAAAGAATGCTTCGGGCCAGGCACAATGGCTCACGCCTGTAATCCCAGCACTTTGGGAAGCCGAGGCGGTCAGATCACTTGAGGTCAGGAGTTCAAGAACAGCCTGGACAACAGGCCGAAACCCCATCTCCACTAAAAATACAAAAATTTAGGCGGACGTGGTGGCAGGCACCTGTGCTGCCAGCTACTCGGGAGGCTGAGGCAGGAGAATCGCTTGAACTCGGGAGGTGGAGGTTTCAGTGAGCCGAGGCTGGGCCACTGCACTCCAGCGTGGCAGACAGAGTGAGAAAAAAGAATGCTTCCAACATCAAAAGTAACAATCACCACTACTTACAAAATAATCCTCCTAAACCTGGCCCTCAAAACTGGAAAAAGTTTGTCAAACATCTGACAATTCATGTTACTTCCTGCTATCATAACTAAGTGAATTGAATCACACAAGTACAATAGTGCCTAATATCCTAATGTTAAGTGGATTAAACATGTTGACACTAAAACCGAAAACCGGCGCTGCTTAATAATGTACTGACCCAGCTTTCAAATAAAATTCATTTTTATTGCTTTGCTATAGATGAAATAAATCTGATTTCCCATAACCTGCACTTGACAAGTGCGATAAATGAAACTGTCATTCAGGATCAAGTTTTGGTCTCCCCAAGACCCCCATGGACAAAGTAAGCTAGCTGATTCATTAAGGCGGTAAAGGACTACGCACTGGAGACTGTCCTGCAGCAAAGCACCTCGGATTCACTGCCTCTCCTTCTGGGAGAGAGTGGGCAGCAAGATTACGCTTCTGTTGACAGGAGGGACCTCTGGGGCAAGACGCTCAGGGCAAGGCTCCCGGGCAACCATCCCACGCTGCTGAGGGAGGACTGGGTGCCGGTGGGCACCAGCCGCAGGCCGCCCCCACAGCAGTCCTCGAGCAGGATTAGAGTATGGGTCGCAGGCAGCGCTAAGCCTGACAGCCTAGGAGGGAGAGGCCCCTCCCACCGGATCCGCCACCATGGCCAGGGAGGAATGGAGAGAGATCCTGGGCAGAGGTTCGTGAGGCCGGGGTCCTGCCGGGGCGCCCGTGGAGCATCCCAGCCCCGTCGCCACAGCCCGGTTCCCGCCCATCACCTCACCTCAGCTGGCACCGGCAGGTTCTCTGCCGCCGCCTTCAGCTCCAGCACCGAGTCCGTCTGCCGGTCGGTCAGCGGCGCCGTCGTGTCCGGTCTCCGATCCCAGAGAGCCAGCTTTTCCCAAGCGTCCCGCTCCGCCACCGCCTCGGGCAGCAGCAGCAGCGCCGCCTCCGCCATCGCCGCCGCCCCTGCGGCCTTCAGCAGCAGGGGGGTGGAGGGGACCCTAACAGAGACACCCGGGCCACTTCCGGGAGAACCGGACCTTCCAGCACTGCACCGGCGGCGGGGCGGGCCGGAATGCCCTGACCCCGGAAACGGTTCCGCAGTGTCGGGGGGCGGGAGCGAGGCCAGTACAGACGTGGCTTTAAATGGGTACAACTATTTCCGGTTGAAACGTAGAAGAAGGTGGAGAAGACGGGACCCAACGGAAATAGAAATGCCCCTACCGGAAGTCTCTTCCTCAACATCAATAACTTTATTGTTACGTGTTGTACAGATTATTGACAACTGCATTATGTCACCCTGCCAGCAGGGGACTTGGATCTACACCTCTGCTCACAGCTGGGTAGTATGGGTGGAGTGTCTGGAGTGTATAATTTCCATGTTGGCATGTTGATAATTTCCGCCTCTTGGATCAAAACATAAAGCATAAACTTTTCCAACATCCAGTAATTCCCCTGCTAGAGAACTAATTTATGGAATCATAAAAAATGCAAAGATGCGTGTATCTCAGTCGTCATTAACGGTATCAAATAACTGGAGGCAACGTAAATGTCTAACATTGAAGGACTGGATCAATAATTTGTGGTACAGGACGGGAGCGGTGTCTCAGACTTGTAATCCCAGCACTTTGGGAGGTCGAGATGGGCGGATCATCTGAGGTCAGGCGTTTGGGACCAGTCTGGCCAATGCGGTTAAACCCCGTCGTTACTAAAAGCACAAAAATTAGTCGGGCATAGTGGCACATGCCTGTAATCCCAGATGCTTGAGAGGCTGAGGTAAGAGAATCTCCTGAACCCGGGAGGTGGAGGTTATAGTGATAGCCACTGCACTCCCGCCTGGATGTCAGAGTGAGACTCTGTCTCAAAATATATGATAATAATAATAATTTGTGGTACAAACATATAATTCTATTCCAGTATTTAAAGCATATTGTAGATTTGAGCAACAAAATAAATCATGATAATATTGGATGATAACTTACAGAATAAAATAAATACCCATGAGTCCATACTGCTATAAATAAACAATTGAATAAATAAATGGTGGAGAAGAGAAAATCTTCTACCTTACAGAAGAATTGCAATCAATAAATGTAGAAAGAGAGAGAGAAAAATTAAAAATCATCATTAGGACACCACAGTAATAATTGTAGTGGGTGAGATCTAAGGATGAATGCTAAAATGATAGGGTGAAAGTTGAAGGAGAAACAGAAATTTGCAAAATCCCAAAGAATCTCCCTGAGATATCTATTAATAACAAGAGGAAATAGCAACTCCCTTTCACAGAGGAGAAACTTGACAGACACCACCTTAACCCAGTGATCAAAGTCAATTATCATGAAACTCCTAAAAATATGGGTTGAAGACAGGATACAACTTCTGTGGTATTCTTGTCAAAAATGCAAAATCTCATTCTAATCATGAAAAAAGATCAAACAAACTCAAGGTGAAGAGCATCCTACAAAACAACTGACCAGTATTCTTCAAAAGTGTCAATGTGTCGTAAAAGGCAAAAGGAAAGACTAAGGAACCATTGCATTTTGGAGGAGGCTAAGAAGACAAGACATCTCAATGCAATGTGAGATCCTGAAGTGAATCTTGGGACAGGAAAATGACATTTGTGGAGAAAATTATAGAATAAAATATAGAAATTCACACAAGGTCTGTAGCTAGGGGATAGGGTAATAGTTGTGTACCAGTGTTCATTTCCTGGTTTTGTTTGGGTAAGATAATAACATTAGGAGAGGCTGAGTGAAGAACATATTTGAACTACTCTTAAGTTTTTGTAAGTCTAAAATTATCTCAAAATAGAGTTTAAAATCTCATGTTGCCGGGCGCTGTGGCTCAAGCCTGTAATCCCAGCACTATGGGAGGCCGAGGCGGGTGGATCACGAGGTCAAGAGATCAAGACCGTCCTGGTCAACACGGTGAAACCCCGTCTCTACTAAAAATACAAAAAATTAGCTGGGCATGGTGGCGCGTGCCTGTAATCCCAGCTACTCAGGAGGCTG